TACACCTAGGATGCCTTGAGGGTGAGTAATTTATGGGCTAATTTTCATTTTTGGGTGAACTAACCCTTTAAATTATTAGACAAAATATTTAATAACAGCAGGTGAAGGTCATTAATGACCACCTCTGTTTATATATGTCATTCTAATATGCTGATTTAGTGTGAAGACTCTTTGATAAATTGAATGTTTAAAAGAACAGCATTTATTTGAAATAGAAATAATTATAAATGTCTAATTTACTATCACTTTTCATATTTCTTTCTACCAGTTTAATGCTTCCTTACTGAATAAAAGTTTTAATTTCTAATATATATATATATATATATATTACTGACCCCAAAATTCTAAACAGAAGTGATTAGTTTACTTTCCACCAGTGTTTACATCAACTTCAGGCCTGAACTGTAATTTTTGCTACATGTAAATCAGGGAATTAAGCGTCGCAGTCCGGTGACAGGCTGTGAAGAGTTTTTCTACCCACCCTGGAAGAGGAGAATGTTCCGCTGGTTGGTCAGCTTTCCCATCTGCATCCTCTGTCTTTGCTTCGTCTGCTTGGCCATGTTTATCTGCCTGGAACTTCAAGTAGGGATACTCAACTTTTGTTACAAAACTTGCTACAACATGTTATTTCAAATAAAGTCTGCAAAGAAGTTTCAAATATATTTGTCTTCCATATTCAACTGAACATTGTTTCTAGAATTTCTGGATTCATGACTGGTGTCTCTTACAGGAATTTGTCATGGAAACAAAGGAGTTGCCAAGCATATGTAGATTTATTCCAAAAATTCTTCTGGCTATAACTGTTACTGTATGTGATGAAGTGTACAAGAAAATAGCTCTCTGGCTCAATGATATGGGTAAGACTTAAATCAGCTTATAACATAATAACATTTACAACATTGTGTATTTTCATTACACAATATGTGTTACTGAATTTAGCCTGATTGGGAGAAAATTTGGGTCATTAAATTAGCAGCAAACTTGCATTTTTGGTTATTTCACAGCTTGTTTGTTCATTAAAGTTTTTCCCTCAGTGACACCTGTTTGTTCATTTTTCAATTTTAACAGAAAATTACAGACTTCAAAGCACTTATGACAATAATCTTATCCTCAAGACTGTTTTTGTAAGTTTAATGCTTTATTTCATGTATTTATATATACCAGGAGATGCTCAATTTATTATTGTATCAGCATACTGTAAAAACTGAATTTGATGAATTTATAAAGTATTGTGCATATCTGTAATGTTTAAAAATGTTCTGCATTTTAAAGTTTCAGTTCATAAATTCTTACCTCAGCCTTTTCTACATCGGATTTTATCTCAAAGACATGGAGCGGTTAAAAGAGGTAATACACAGATGACAGAATAATGCTAAAGTAACAAGGTTATGAATGAACAAGTCATTCTGTACCCCAGACAAAAAATGACTCTCTTTAATTTACAGATGCTGGCAACGTTGTTGATCTTCCGCCAATTTCTACAAAATATCAAAGAAGTGTTGCAGCCGTATCTCTATGAGCACCATAAATTAGGTGCTCTGAGGACATTATGGGACTTAATTCAAACCATGCTCCTGAACTATAGGCATTTGATAATGCAAAGGATACGACTGACTTGCCAAGCCAGTCTGGATGTGAATAAAAATGGCACACCTCCAGAACAATCGGAGAAGAGAGAGAGAAGGAGTTTAATCGCCAGCTACAGAGTTCTCAAAACAGAGGAAGGGGATGGTGATGCTGGACTAAAGCAAAGGAAGGTCAGCTTCACCGAGAAGGTGGAATACAAAGACAAGGTTGTGGAAGCACAGACCAGCCTACAGGACGATGGCAGTCCTACCCTTGTGGAGGAAGGAACGGATCCATCCTTAATATTTGATATACGTGATGATGACGATGATGATGACAGAGAATTGGATGATTCTCTGAGTAAACCTCAAGGACCCCAGAGAAGAAAGACCAAATCTGCTGGGGAAAACAACAGCTTGGAAAAGAAAATGTCCTGGATGGATCCTCCAGAGGAGACTGAATCTACTGTTTTGACCCAACCGGAGATTGAAAGTTGCATGCTAACTTACGAGGTCTGTGCCTCCTCCACCTAGATCGTTGGTCTGACCAGCTGGTGTCATTGTTAACAATACAAGTTTAGAAATGCTATTTTTCTTACTTGTTTGCTACTTTCTGAACCCAATGTCTGGTGTACTAACTATCAAAAACAAGACCATTTTCTTTTATTTCGACTTGCAGGATACTCTTCAAGATTACCAGGAAATGTTCATACAGTTTGGCTACGTCGTGCTCTTCTCCTCTGCATTTCCTCTGGCAGCCATGTGTGCCCTGATAAACAACATTGTAGAAATCCGAAGCGATGCTTTAAAACTTTGCACAGGCCTCCAGAGACCCTTTGGGCAAAGGGTTGAAAACATTGGACAATGGCAGGTCAGGAGATCCATTCAGAATAATTACTTAATAAATAATTTATAGCGGATTGTATTTTGTGTTTGTTGAACTTGTTCTTTTGCTTTTGTTTGTTCTTAAAATTTGAACAGACCACAATGGAGGCAATGGGTCTGATCGCAATAATTGTGAACTGTTACCTTATTGCCCAGTGTGGACAGCTGCAACGACTCTTCCCCTGGTTGAGCCCTGAGATGGCCATCATCTCTGTCATAGTGCTAGAGGTAAGAGAGAAGTAATATCATTCCATAGAAAAAAAAACTGCAAAAAAAGTTTGTGGTCAGTATGATTTTTTTTTAATTTGTAAGGAGTATTTTTAAATAAGAATATGCTCAACAAGGCTGCATCATATTTGATTAAAAATAGAATAAAAACAGTAATATTGTGAAGTATTTCATTTTAAAATAACTGTTCAGTATATTTTAACACCTAATTTATTCCTGTGATGGCAAAGCTGAATTTTCAGCACATTCCTCAAGTCATCAGTGTCACATGATGCTTGAGAAATTATTATAATATGCTGATTTGCTGCTCAAGGAACATTTCTTCTTATTATTATTATATGTTGTTCTGCTTAATATTTTTGTTAAAACCATGATCAAGTTCAAAAGAACAGGACTTAGAGATATTTTGTAACACTGTAAATGTCTTCTGATAAATTCTTGCTGAATGAAAGTATTAGTATTATCTAGTGTATATATATGTGTATAACAAATCTAAAGCTTGAATAAATTATGAATAAAGTGTAGTAAATTGAATGTGACTCTTTCTCATATGGTTTTCAGCACTTTGCCATTCTGCTCAAATATATAATTCATGTTGCAATTCCTGATATTCCAAACTGGGTGGCAGATGAGATGGCCAAACTTGAATACCAGCGGAGAGAAGCTCTCAAGGTAGCACAGCACATGATGAGCATAGACTAACAATATCCAAAGAATTTTAATGTATAGATATTAATATTTCATGTCATAACCCGTAAATACTAAATAGATTCTACAACTTGGTTTTGTCCAATGAAATTAAAAATAAAACATTAAAATGTCTTTTTAATGGTTCTAACATCACAGTGAGATGAAAAAATCTTGGTTTGTGAAGTTAAATTGGCTTGGTGATTGTTTTTGTATCAGAAACATGAACGGCTCGCTCAACAGCACCAGCAGCAGCAGAAACGGAGGAAGTCTGAAGATGAAGAGGAGCATCAGAAAATGGCAGAGGAATTGGCACGACAAGACAGTGAGCAAGACAAGTCCGATCTGAATGGAGGTGAGGACCATCACCATGAAAAAAGCCCAGGGGCCAAATTCAGCTCTGGAGGAAATAAACTCAAGAGACCCAGCTCCCTTTTAGGCAACAATAATGTAATGAAACTTAAACAGATAATCCCACTTCAGGGTAAATTCACCTCTACCACTTCTCCCACAAGCGGTGAGGCCAAACTTCCAGGTTTTCTAAAGTTCCTCAAATCCCAAGAGTTAAAAAAGGAAGCCGCTGCAGCAGTTGCACAAGCAGCTACACATGGGAGCCACGAGAAAACACAGTCTCCCAGCAAGTCCTTCAATCCAGGCAAACTCTTCAACTTTGGGAAAGAAAATCCATGTACTGGTGCTGGTTCAGAACGGCAAGCGAAACCAGAAGATGCCTCAAGGGCCACTAATGCACAACACACAAATAATGACCAAAACCCTTCATAAGAAGAGCTTCTAGCTGAGGTTGAAAAGAGTGAAAGCTCGGACTTTGGTAATATTCCTTCAAAAAATCAGTGAATGAGATACTATTCAGTTAATATATAGCACTGATTGTACTGCTTAACATTTGCTTAAATGTGATAAAGCAACCATGTAGTAAGTGGAACTGCATGTCAAAAATCATTATATAGATCTCCATATAGTTTACTCACTGAAAGTGGCATGCTAAATCACCTGCATGATAAAATCAGTTTAGGTGGCATGGGCAAGCAAGAAAGGACATTTGAATGAGCACTGTAAATGTATAGAATTTCTATTTTTCTACGCATTATTATTTTTCTTATATGAAACAGTAAATACGACAATCTAAAAATTATGTGTTGTCCTTGCTGATTTTGATCTTATTAGTGGGAACCCATAATGCAATAAAATGGAATTACTGTGAAAAGAAATGTAAAAAATGCTATATCAGACACAATATTCACCAAGTTACTTCACAGCCTGTTTTTTTTACTTTTGTACTATTATCATAATGCAAATTAAATGCACATACAATTGCTTATAAAAATTAACTATGCTAAAATAAAATGTGATACAAAACATGACAAACTTTTTTTATTTGTGTATTGATTTTATTTTTTTTAAACTAGTCAGAACGATCAGAATAGAATCTGATAATGACAAATGTAGTTTTCATTTGTATATTATTTTAGATTTGTTTTTACTTGCCACCTATACTTCCTGTCCCAAATTGATTACTTATATGAAGTATGCTGATGTTGTTTAAAAAAAAGTAAACAGTAAAAAAAAACAGTAAATGCTCTGATCAGAGTGTAACAGTGCATAAAGCAGAACCTTTGACATGAATGTACTCAACTGCTAATATGAAGATGGATAAGATCCATTAAATTGAATTTAAAAAAATAATATTCAATGAAGTCTTTCAGCGCCATTGCCCATTAATTTCTTTAATTTGACAGATATTTTAAATAGAAACCCAAAAGCTCTACTGCCCAGTTGACATTCAACTGAGATTCAATTCAAAGGTAAATCAAAGTAACTGTCCGGTCAGAGTCTCAATGTGTCAGGGATTTTCGTCCTTTGAGCATTCGGCGCAGGATTACTTCAATCCCACCTGGAGTGCTAATTCTTTTGATCCACCCATGGGTCCTTTTTCGTTTGATGTTCTTCGGCTGATATTCTGTCCCACGTTTGACTGTGCGGACTTGTTGATAGTGCCAGAGTTGCTGCTGGAAAACACAGGCTCCCTCTGCTTTGGTGTTCAGGGTTCCTTGCAGGACAGTTTTCTGCTCGGTTCCATTCCTTGGCAGAACCAAGGAACTGATAGAGCGTAGTTGACTGCTGCTGAATATGATAGAGTGAGGGCCATTACTCCTGAAAGTGAATTAGAACATAATGTAAAATATTTACACATGCATGGCATGGACTGTCCATGAGTCCTGAAGACTAAAAGTCTTCCGCCAAACTCAGTGGCAGATTGACAATATACAGGTGAATTTGTACACTGGTGTGACATGCATGACAAATGTAAAATTAAAAGTAATATGAATAAAAACACATTGTCGCTCTTAAAAGGAAAGAGATTTAGCATTTATTGTAAAGTAACTATATCATTACACTCGTGTATTGTTTTTCACCGTATTTTTGTGTTAGCTATGTTTAGTTGTGGTTTTGCAATATATTCCAATTAGATTAATGCCATTAATATTTTATTGGGTCTATGGCAAAGCTATTATTGATGTGAGTTTTTCGCTAACGCTGGTGGTTAAATTCACAATCAAAGAAATGTTCAGCAAACTAATTTAACATTTTTTTTTTTAATAAAGGAGCGATGCCACATACCAACACAAACTCTGAGCCCCCGAAAAGCGCAAAAATGTTGTTCGTAACGTGTTCATTTCGGCTACTGCTTCCCTCCATCAATATCACACCAAAGTCATCACACGCCTTGCCCTTGCGTCTCTTCTTCTTCTTCTTCTTGTACGATTTTATGGCGGTTGACAAGCCAACTTATGGTGTATTACCGCCACCAACTGGACTGGAGTGTGAAGCATTAACGGGAAAGAGGGAAAAAGGAACCCCAAAAAAAACAAAAAAACCCAATTCCATAAATAAATAAAACAACCGGGTTGCCAAGTTGTCACAGTAAAATGCTTATATTCTCCCTAGAAAGAAGAAATGAGGGAAATGCTTTAGAAAGTGCGAGTACAAACCATCTGTAATGTTGTTTTTAAAATCATTAATAAAATATCTATGTATTTCTGTGTGAAAATAAAAACAGTGGGGTTCGTCTACAGGTGGAAAAAAGTTAATTGCTAACTGCATTGCTTAAGTGTTTTACGCAGGACTTGGCAACACGATCCTCCAGCGTGGTTTACAATAGCTTGTACCTGACTACAGATGTCTTGCAGAGTCCATATACATATTGTCGAAGGTGCTTATGTTTTTCCATGTGCTCTTGGTGTTGTGTGGCAGTAACGCTCCAAATTTATTTTAAGGCCAAGGCTGCATGTTTTTAAGATGTGTTTATTATGATTATGGGACATGTATACTAGCTAAATATAATAAATAATATAGATGTAAACTGTGCATCACCAGCTCAATTATAACAACATTTATTTCAGATGTGCAAAGACAACTACCCAGCATAGAATGCCCTTTTACATTTATCCAATAATTCATAGTTAATTTCAATTTTCGTAAACTTATAGGCATTTCTCCCAACTCCAGCGTCTCTTCTTCTGGTGCACGACTGGCAGGAATTTTTCAAATCTCACTACTGCCCCCTTGAAGTCAAACTCGGAATAACATAAGCGCAGCATATGCGTTTTATTTACTTATTTTTATTACAAAAACAAAAACTGTTGGTAATGTATCCATGCATGGATGCTTTACAGAAATACGGTGTACTAAACCCTTAGTGAACTTTAAAACGATTCTGCGGTTGGGGAGTGAACTCACTGGTTTTGAGCGCTGCGCAGCCGGAAGCGGAAGTGTGTGTGTGTGTGTGTGTGTGTGTTCAGTAAACGTTCTGCTAGCTTCACGAACCACCACGCAAATTCTGCAGCCAACTGTCGCTTAATTATTTGTACAAACCTCTGAGGTACAGCAATTTCAGCAGCCAAGATGTTCAACAGAATGACAAGTTTATGGATGGGTGATGTAAGAAATGGTTTTTTGTTAACTTTTCTTCGATAACTCGGCGAGTAAGTTATGTAGATTAGAAAGCAGCAGCATGTGGGTTCGGCTCGATGTTGCGCAAGCACGGCCAACAGGCCACTCAAATACTCAATAAACTGGAGAAATAAATGCTGAATGTACACCGAATTAAAATAATATTCTAGCACATTTGTAAACACAGTGCTAATTAACGGTAGTTTTTTTTTTTTCAAGTTTATTGTCGACAGGCCTCATATTTGCATATGTGCTTTTGTGTCGTAGTGTAAATAATGGGACAAACTACATAATCGTGTTATGATTTCGAGTTGGGCAACTAAACCGGGTGTAGTGTACTAAACTGTACGTGAAGTCAACTTGTCTACGTCACAGACGCCCGCGCTGTAACCGGGCACGTGACGCAGAACTCTGAACTTTCCTTTTCTCTGCTTGCTTCTGTAAATCATTAACATGGTGTTTGTTTAAAATATGCTGACAGGCCATTAATCCCACTATTTGTTTTACAGTTAGACCCATACATGGATGAAAACTTCATTAAGCAAGCTTTCAGCACTATGGGAGAGACTGCATACGGTGTCAAAATAATTACACATCGAGTTACCGGGTAAGATTACATCTCTAAATAAAGTGCAGAAGCTGGCTTCCAGAAGTAAAAAGCCCATCAAGCAGATACTTTGTTTTTAATTCTTTAAAGACAAGCCTGCTGTGAGGTTGTTAACCTTTTCTTTTAATATTAGTTTTTAACAGCAGTATTCCGGTGAAAAACTACATTACCCATAAATCTCCACCAATCAGAGAATCTCAATAAGCAAATCATGCCAAAAGAGCTTTTTAGTACCCACATACTCCCATGAAGCATTGCGTTTTTTGCAATAAACATAAAATATATTGTTTCCCTATATAATCAACATCTTTAAATGAATAGTTTTATATTTCTCGATCGTTTTTCATTTTATTGTCATTCACAATGCTTCATGGGATTGTAGTTCATTCCCTCATTAAAGCTAATAAGTATGCAGCCTTGTACCTTTGTCTTTTTGCCTGATTTTCAAATACAAATTTTTGCTTCAAATCGAAGTTTGTCATGCATTGATTAATCTCATAGCTGGTTGGTTTGGTTCATGGCTTATAAGATGAGCCAGGTTTTGTCTTTTGTGTGAGTTTGTTGACAGAAATCATTGAATATTCTCTTCTGTGTTTCCTCAGAGGCTCGGCTGGATACTGTTTTGTGGAGCTGGCAGATGAGGCCAGTGTTGACCGTTGTGTGCAGAGGCTTAATGGGAAGCTGGTTCCAGGATCGAATCCGGTAAGATGCCAAACTTGCACCCATTAAATTGTGTAGTTTTGGCATCTGTATTTGATTTCAGTACATTCATATATATATATATATATATATATATTATAGGAAGGTATAACCAGCATGGCCCCCACCTGATATGAGACATTTCAGTTATTACTCCAGATATTAATAGTGATGGGCAAGTTACAGAGCTCAATTTCTTCCCTAAGGAAGGTGGTTGAGGGTGTTTTTAAAATGACTTTGTTTGAAGCTGGTGAATAAACTCTGTTAGGAACTAGCTGACGAATGGGATAAAGCCAGTACTGATTGGTGGAGGTATGTGGAAATAACAGCTTCCTTACTCAAATAATATAACTCTATTTGTCAGCGAATTGTCTCCATACTACAGGCAAAGTGTCATTTGATTTGCTCAGTGGTTGTATTTTGTTTGCATTTCAGCCCAGGAAGTTCAAGCTAAACTACGCAACATATGGGAAAAGGCCAGAGCCTGGGTAAGAAGACCATGTCCAGAAAACCATTTTAGTTGCTGATCTCTTGTTGAGAAACCAAAGAGAAAGTAGCTGCTTTTTTGTAGTTAAATATGACATTTTTAGTTGTGGTGGTTTCTTTCACTTTACATAGCTCACTTTCTTCCTCAGCCCAGAATTTTCTGTCTTTGTTGGAGATCTCACGTCAGATGTGGAAGACTACCAGCTTCATCAGTTCTTTCTGAAAAAATTCCCTTCATGCAAAGGAGCCAAAGTTGTCACTGATCCTTATGGGAACTCCAGGTATGAAATGTTTCAGCCGCCAACTCTGTGCTGCATAACCTTGCTTGGCTTTCTCTGACAGTTTGATCACCTGAGGTTGACCACAGATGAACTAGATGAGGTCTCCTTTACCTTTTATTTTATATTTTTTTAAGAGCTTATTTTCAGTCGATACTCTTTACCCTCCCTCTCCTAAAAAGGGCCAGACAATACATGGATGTGATTTGCCGTTGTTACAAATCTGCTAAAACTATTGTTTTCCCCATATAGGGTAAGCAAGAGCAACTCACAATTGAAGTGATGCTACTTCATGTTAAAAGTAAAAGAGAAGTTTCAGTTCTACCATCAAATTAATTATTACTTTCTGAATACATATTGAAATAAGCATATACTGCATGATGAGGCGCATGAAGAGTGAGGGAGCAGTTGCTGATGATCTAGTTTTTTCAAATGTACAGGGGTTATGGCTTTGTGAAGTTTAGCGACGAGAACGAACAGAAGAAAGCCCTCGAGGAGTTTCAGAACGCATCAGGCCTGGGAGGAAAACCCATCAGGATAAGCATTGCCGTCAACAAAGGGTACCTTTCATTTGAATTTTATTTTTGTTATTGCTACTTAAGTTTTATATGGTCAATGAGACTTAGTCCTGATAAGTAAACTCTAACCTCACAAATCCACATGAAATCTCACCATATTCTTTCTTTTTTCATTTTAGCAATAAACCAAGCAGTTACCACAACCAGAATAACAGCTACAACACCAACTATCAACAGCAGTATTATCAACAGCCCTACAACAATTACTATCCTCAGTGGGGTTATGATCAGTACAGCAGTTATAACTACGGCTATAACCCATATGCTACCCCCCCTCCAGGGCCACATGGAATGATGGGACCACCCCCACCCATGGGGATGCCCCCCATGGCCCCTGACATGCAGGGATCCACAGAGGTATTTTAATAGTGATTGATGAAGATAAGTAGTGTTTTTTAAATATAAATCCAAACCATTTTTATTCTGGAATTGACCTTTTTTGTATTGCTTCAGCAGTCACATGATGGCACTGAGGATGTTGAGGACCCAGCTGAAGGTAATATTTCGTTACATTTAATTTGACTGTTTAATTGACCAAATTGTTGATGAGAGCGAGTTCACACATCAGTAATTACTCACCATCTTCTTCTCCCTCAGACCCAAACCCACAGGTGGATGTGGATACATTAAATAGGCAATACATGGAGTGCAGTGAGGAGCTGTACGATTCGCTCATGGATTGCCACTGGCAGCCATTGGACTGTGTCACATCTGAAATTCCTATGATGAACGGTTCCTGACTCTGAACCAATCACCGTCCAGGATTATTATACTTTGTGAAGGAACATGCCTTTTTATAATGATCTGAGAAAGTTTTTCAGAGAATGTTTTTTCTCCTTTTCAGCCTTTTATTTGGAGCTTCATTCGAACAGGAACGATGCTTTCTTCGTGTGTGTCCATCACCTTTTTTCTTTTTTTTCAAAGTTAGGTAGTTATGGTTTTGTTGAACAGGTTTTTTAAAGATGGATGGAAAGAATCTTCTTCAGTACTAATGTAATTTTTAATCAGGAGTTATTCCTACTCTTGCCTTATTAAACTTTTCCATTAGAAATTTGAAGCATGCCTTTTTGTGTATCCAAATAAGCGTCTCTTATATACACCCCTTTTTTGTCTGTTGTGAGGCCACTGATGGTTTTTCATTTGTGAAAGC